AGTCGAGCGCTCGCTGGATGTCCTGGGGGATGGGGTGGGGGGTCGGGAGGTGAGCACCCTGAGGCTGGAATCCGTTCTCGTTGGCGATGTAGGTCAACTGGATGTTACCACCGTCTTCACTTGGGTACTGGAATTGACCTTGTACTTCCAAAGCGGGCTCTTCAGCACCGATGTTCTTCAAAGCTCCCTTCTCATCGGCTGAAATACCATTTCCAGTTTCATAGGAATATTGGTAGGAGCCATCAGGGTTGATTTGACTGTCTTGACGGACGATGGGGATGGGTTCCGTCGGGGCCTGGGGAGCGGCGAGGGCGACAGCCAGAAGGGACAAAGCAATCTGCAAACAAAGATTCAACATTAACTTTTATAATATGAAGCAACCTGTTACATTAAAAAGTACAAGGTATTTTCAAAAACACAACACAAACACTGGTACACCAGAACAAATTTTAATTATAAGTATTGTTTTAGATTTTGACGTAACTCCAAGGAAATAGTTAAATGACCAATGCTTATCAATTGCATTCTTTCATTCACATCGCCACTTAACATCAAAAGGTGGTGGTATAAAAGGATTACGTAAACTGTTTCGTTAGTTGTACGTAAAATTAAAGGGCAAAGCTTTTTTTGTAACCACAAATTCACTTGTATGCTATCGTTGTCAAATATTTACATAAGTCACTACACAATCACAGACACTTACGATGGTTTTCATGGTTGGTTATAGAATGTCGGTGGAGGCACTAGACAATGTTGGTCTTAGAGGCATATCGGTGTATATATACGGGTGGATTACTAAGCCTCTACCACCACTGGATTGTATTGCACCACATGACGAGATAAAATACATTCAACTAATGTATGTGCGTGTTATATCATATTCAATATTTATTGCTTATTATAAGCCTATACGTAGTTTTTTAGTTTTTTACAAGTTTTTTCGGGTTAAATAATTGTAAACAATAGGAAATAGCAAAACATTTTTTTAATAAAGAAATGTAACAATTTTTATTATGTAAACGTAATATGTATAAAAGATGGAGGAGGGGCATTGTTAAAACATAATTATTTAAAAAAATATATGGCAGTTTAGTTTAATCTTGGCACCTATGTAATCAAAATGTTTTTACCTAGTTTACAATGTTTTAGAATAAATATAAACCTCATTATTATTCTGATCTTTCTTCTGGAATAAATATTAAATACCTAAACATTATGTTATTTCAAAGTGAGTGTTGAATATCTAAAATGCACTAAGATGCGTCGTATGTTGCGGCGCCAAGAATTTATTGATTTATTGTTGATTGTTTTTTGCCTAAGTTAAAATTGATGGGAAATTAGGATTTAGAAGATAACCATAGTATAAAATCTTCATTGTTAGTTTGGCACGGTTATTTGATATTCATTATTTTACATAAAGGTATTCGCAATTGAATTAAGAGACATACGAGTATACCAACGTAGGAAAATAATTGAATTTATAAATTTATGAGTAGATTTTCGCACATTTTATTAAAGACCTTGTAGTAACTCATCTTATCAAATTCATGTGACTATGAAATTGATAAAATATCCTCATGATATTTTGCACAAAGATATAGATGTCGATTATTTGTCATAGTCATTTACAAGAAAAAATTATTTTACGTAGTTATATTACTTATACTAAAATTAAAATTTAAAGTTGTAAGATTGTACATTGGTGTGTGATTTGGGTATTCAGTTGGTTCATCGAAATGGGTCCAATAGGAAATGGCCCAATTGATTAGAAAACAAAAGTGAGTAGCCTATGTCCACTTCCAGGCTATCATATATATCTGTAGCAAATATCATCGAAATCCGTTTAGCGGTTAAGGGTACAAACTCTAACAAACATCCATCCATCCATCTAAACTTTCGCAGTTATAACATTAGTAAGATAATGCGCACTGATGTTGTGTTAACTTAATTCAAGTAAGTACTCTTGTAGTAGATTATGTTAGACTGAAAGTTCTTTAAAACTGTAACATGTCTATAAGGAAAAAGCACATTTATTATGACGCATATTTTGGTATATTTACTTAATTATTGTGTAACATACAACAATGCAGGTACTGTAACTAAATCAGTTTAGAAGACATCATTTGTAGTAACAAGTCGTGTACTATGGGTTACTAATTTTCGTCCGCGACTCTGTCCGCGTCGCATTAAAAAAACAAGTGTAAGTAGCCTATGTGTTTTTGCCGGCTATCCTACATCTGTGCCAGATTTCATCGAGATCCTTTCAGCCCTTTAGGCTACAAACTCTAACAAACATCCATCCATCTAAACTTTCGCGTTATACTGTTAGTACGTTAAATATTTAATTGTTAACAAATCGAATCTAGTTAAGTACGTAAATTAAAACTAAGTTCACGTAGTTAGTTACAGATTTTCGGCAAAAAAAAAAGCATTTTAAAAGTTATGCCTTATATAGACAATGTTCATCGAAAATAACAAAAGTAAAGGTTAAGATTTTTGCATGTAATCAAGTTGGCCGTGTAAACACATTTGCAATAACAGAAACACACATGCTCGTCTAATGAAATTTCACGGCGCTAATTGAACGGTGAAGGCTGTAGAAAGTAGCTTTTAAACACGATTACAAAATTAAACAAAAACACACATGTTTTGTGATAACAAATATAACCTTGACTATCGGGCGCAATAATCTCTAATTTTTTTTTATACAGCCGGCCCTGGGACCAACTGTCGTATGCTTATGCAATAAACGTTCAACGTTTGATGTGCGGTTCACACTTTGCCATTATTTTTGGTCAGTAGTACTTAATAAACTGGCAATCAACTGGCACAATGTAAACGCTCGCTAGCACCAATGACTCCATACAATCTATCACTGGTCGTCACAACTGTCTAACTGTACTGGCCAAGTGTGTACCGCGCATGATACCCAGTAAGCTTGAAATGAACTGTCTAAATAAGCTTCTATTATTAGAACTTTTAGCTACAGAAGTATTTAGAGTTTTTGTGTAAATCAAATTATTAAATGTGTTTTTCTCTATGAAAAAAGTATTTTAGCATTTTTTTTAGTTTTTACTTTATTTTTTTTTACAAGACATTGCAGCGCATGTCGGGTGTAAGGTGTCAAGTTGTATAGAAATAAATATCATCATATTCATAGAATCTAAACGGTGTGTTAACCTTCATACATGTTAATTTAACTTTAACGTTTAATGATAGTCATTTAGATGTCTGAACTCTCGTTACAATTTGTCAGTTAACAAACTATAATCATCTTGGGGTTAAATTTTTGATTAGTTTACATTTTGATTTACTAACGAAGGTTATTTTTTTCTACTAACTGACGTTCACGCGATAACACAATTATAAAATACAATTAATACGCAAAACATAACTTTTTAATAAGAAAATACTTTTGTCATCTATAAATGTTTTGGACTAACATTTGTACTCTTTACCTAAGTTAGTAAAATAAAATTTTGTTTTTCAAGTAAGAACCCGAAAAAGATATTAAAAGATTAATCAATACTTTTTTTATTAAAGCTTTAACAACTGTAACCAATCGTTGTTTGCTTAATTTAATTGAATATTCATGAATCAAGTTGATGAAATAGCGGCTCTTTGATGTGCAGTTGTCAGTTAAAAGTTCCTTACGGAATGCTGCTTTTATTGATTTTATTTCTATCTTATAAAACGAAGATTATGTGAACTAGTGAGGCTTGCTAATGCTCGATAGATTAGGTTTATTCCTAAATTCTCTGCGTTTTGGCACTAAACATAAAAGTGGGATATCCCAGAGACCCAGTTCGATACTATTAGAAATGGAATTCCATATCGTTCAGTTCTCCCATAATAGGTAACAGGAAAAATGTTCAATATAATATACCACTCATTGCCAATCGAATGTGCTTACTTATTATAATCTCAGTGTCGTAGATGACACAATATTATTTCGATGGTGTCCAACACATGATGGGTTGGGCCAATTGTATGATGATTTTTGTGAAAGTCGATCTACAAGCGAATATGTTCCAACTTACATTGGTCTTGTTACAACGAAATTTTATAAGACTATTCATTCAGTACGTAATAATGCTTCAATAGCCGTGACAAGTTAATGAGACTATACTATACAGAACAAAGAACTGTAATTATTTAAATTTGTAAGTTTTTATCAAGTGACGCAAAAAATAAACGTTTTCTGTATCTAGAACTGCTTATTAAAGCCTAAGTCTATATAACTTCAGTTGTTTAATATAAATTGTGAATTTCTTATAGTCAATCGTAAAAGTAACATACTCATTATATTAGAAAATGACCAATTCTTAGTATTAATATTTACATACGATATATCAAATTCGTGTATTTATGACAAAGATAAATGAAAATTACGATAATTTTATTAATAAATTTAGCTATAAATAATCTTCATTAACAATTTATGGACGTATGAATAAACCTTACACAATGCTTTTAAAATTGAAAATGTTATTAGAAAATTGTCAATTGTTTTATTAAAATAGACAACTTAATAAATCGTCAACGTTACCACGGTTTAATGATCGTTTATAGTAACCTTTATGTGTGCGTAAACTATGATTCTGTACGCTTCAGTATGCAAATCGATTTTGTCGCAGTTTTTGCAAGATCCATCAAATAATGCATCTCTGCCTAGCGCCCTACGAGGAATTAGTGTTGGTTTTAAGTCTTTAGAAAAAAACGAATTGTAATATTTAATGGAAAAACTACAATAAAACAATAATAATATATCGAACAGAAGCCTCGTGTACTAAATTCTAGAAGCTTTGTGTTTTAATGACTTCTTTGGTCAGTTTCAAACATTCTGTATAGTAAAATGAAATAATAACAATTCAGATAGAAACGTATTTTTCAACTAAATTAGACCACTTCATTTAATAGTGAAATTAAAAGTGTTAGCAATCTTTCAATTATCGATCTTGAGAAAAAAAGATAAATGGGAAATAAATCAATTAATAAAATAATAATTAAAATATATATTCACACTACAAAAATATAAAACGGTCAGATGTATCTAGTACTAAATTGTACACTGTTACAACAAATAAAATTAATGCTTAATACATAGACAAACATGTAATCATATCCTATTAAAGTAGTATAGACATTAGTTCTGTTTAACTACATTTTAAGGATATGAATTATGGTTTGTTGATCAGTCTCTCATTGCTCCTGGGGCTGGGGCGCGGCGGTGGCGAGGTGTGCGAGGGCGCGCTGGATGGCCTCCGGTACTGGGGGAGCGGTGGGCAGGTGAGCGCCCTGAGGCTGGAATCCGTTTTCGTCAGCAGTGTACGTCAGCTGGATGTTCTGTCCGTCCTCACCGGGGTACTGGAATTGGCCTTGCACCTCCAAAGCCTCAACATCTCCGACCTTCTTGAGATCGCCCTTCTGGTCCGCACTAATTCCGTTTCCAGTTTCAAAGGAGTATTGATATGAACCGTCGCCGTTTATTTGGCTATCCTGACGAAGAATCGGGATTGGTTCTGTCGGTGCTTGGGGAGCGGCGAACGCCACCGCGACGAAAAGAGCAACCAAAGCCTGGAAAGAATGAGACAATATTAGTTTTTCTATCCGTTACACAAAAACGTTTATTGCACTTTATTGGTTTATTTCACAAAACTATTTGTTGTTTTCACGGTTATTTCACTGATCACACATCACTTGTTTGGTACGTAAATATCACTGTTTTTATTGCACTTACAATGGACTTCATTGTTGTCAGATTTGTTGTTGGTTGACTAACTGAAGTAGCTGAAGTAGTATCGAGTGACTGATAACGCTGCATCCTTACAATTACGTATTTATACCGGACCGATTTGCCCACCTCCCTGCAATTTGTGTTTCGCAATTCATTGCGACTTCGAAATCTATGAAATAAGTAAATAGTAAATGCATTACCTCGACTCGTATATGTCAACTTGGTGCGGCGACGTAACCGTTGTCAACAAAGCTAACGGATTTTCCATTTGTTCAGTATTGACCTTAACGCAAGCACCGAGCACCGGTGTTACGCTAGGGCTGCCCCGGTCTTATAGGAGAATATGTTATTTCCTGTAATTATGTTCTGTAATCTACACTATCAATAAATAATTAAGTACTGTAAAAATAGTAATTGAAAACATTTTTTTTAATTTGGTAAAAAGTTGTTTTAATTGAAATTATAAGAGATAATTATACCCAAAACCATAGTAGTAACATATTTTTTCATCTACCATAACTGAGTAATAAACATTTTGAACATAAATGTGGCAACCCTTGTTTACAGCCTCAGCGCAGCACGGCATACCACGCGTTCATCTCGTGCACTTCATTATTATCTGCGAAGAAAGATATTATTCAAGTGTTATTAATTTAAAAAAGTATAATTGATAGTAAAAAATATTAAAATACCTTAAACAGTACAAAGCTTATTATTGAACTTGTAACTCAGGTTTACTCCTGTCAATCATCTACATAGTTATTATCCTGAAAAATGTTACATTTTCTTGAAACAAAACCAAATATTATTTATTTTTATGATTATTTGGATGATTTTAAGTTTTCATAATTGTTATAAGACTTAAAAGTTCAGCACTTTATGCTCGTTAATAAATATAATTTCTAGTATACATTCTTACTTTTTTTATTTACTCGTATATCTACGCATAAAATTCATGCCAATAGAAAACTATCATTCAGTCTAGCACTTAAATTAGCATATAAGTGATAAAGTGTAAACGCGCTTATATTATATAAAAGAATGCTTAATATAAAATCTTTCGGATTCGAGATATTTTTGGATACTGAAAGAGAAATCTTCGGCATAAAGTCACGATTTATTCTCGACATTATCTCTCTATCGCACCACAAGCCTGGTGAAATTGTAGTAAAGCACTAACTTCTGCATTCAAAGTTAAAGAAACACATCTGTAGTGATCATCAATTGATTCTAAGAAGACCTTTAGTGCAGATTTAGTGTACGGCAGCGTGTTTCTTCGCTCTTTTAATTAAAAAAAAACGCAAAAATAAGCGTATTATAAGCATCAAAATGATGTGCTATAAAATTCTTGATAAAATCAATTTGTAATTCAGCAACCGTACAGGGTCACACAACTTCCTGTCTCGCATAACTATATTTCATGTAGTTTTCCCCAAAAACTGCTTAAATTCGTAAAAAGTATTTAAGTTAGTTCGTGTTTTTTGGTTTATATATGACATTAGTTGACTCTAATTTTAAAATGAAGGACTCAGGGTTGTGGTGCAAATTTCCTTAAGAAATATCGATATTGGTTTTGGTAACTTTTGCTGTTATGTTTTTGTTGTATCTTAGTATTAAAAAAACTAAAAGGAATGAAAAGGACGACAAAATGCTTGCGTCAGTGTGTACGAGAAATACAATTAAAGAAGGACAATTCCATAAGGTTCTATTTCACGCGACTGTAACATGTAAAATGGTACATACATCGACATCGATGTTACGCAATATAATAATCATCCTTATGAATAGATGATCAGACAACAAAAGATTTCACTCATATCTGTTATGTAAATCTTATTGTAGGCAGTTTTAGTCAATAGAATGACTTCGGGCGAATTTTGGTTGCTGCATTAACATGTATTTGTTGGGACTTGTGTCTATACTCGTATGTATGATAATGTGGTGAAGACATTTGACATTTTAGATTCTTTGTCACTCATGTCTGAGATGTTAACGGCAATATTTTACACAAGTATGCAATCGTTGAAATAATAAAAGCTGTTGATGTAGCATTGCTAACTATTTAATGTGAGATCGCTTATGTATTGGTTTTGAACCTCATTTCTCACAAGTTTTTGCTGCCTTCTAGTTTTTCATTTGCAATACGTAATAGTAAATCTAAGCGAAAAAAGAACTTCTTTTTTTGAAAGATTTGAAGAAATTTTACTCAATTATGAATACTATTCGTTGTCCCTTCATATTTTACTTTAAAGGTGAAATATAATTTCGGAACATTTCAAGTATAATTAGTAAATGTTGACAGTAACATCCAGAACATTAAGTGCAACATAACCTTGATATTATCTCGTGGTCAAAAGCTTGAGTTTTCGTCATGCGAGCATCAAGGTGTCAGTGCGAGTGGTTTATGGCGATGCGTCGCTGCGACCTTGACACGGCGCGGGGAAAGTGAACGGACCGGTCGAGTGAGCGGGGGCCGGCCGGTCTGCGAACATCGGACACATCTGCTCAACACACTACTCAGTCTTAATGACTGATGACATCCCAACGCTCACACTATCACGCTTTCCTTAAAAGGTTATGATAGCATGTGATAGCAATATGTAAATTATAATTACAATGAAATAGGTTTTCACTTTTTAATCGAACTACGACAAATTTGAAAATTCATTTTGTTTTTTAGAATTTGACAGTACCAGTTTCCAGTTAAGGTAAAAAAATTTCAACCGTTGCATATTAGCGTAGTCCATACGCTGTTAATTGTCAGGTATTGGCTTATATTACATATGTAATCGGGGCCAGATTAATTGGTTGGCATTGTCAAATACAATTTTATTGTAGAAGTTAGGATTCAGAATTACCTTCGGAAGATTGATAGCTATAACTGTTGATTTAGAAAACAGGGATAACACAATTGATAATGACAAACCGTTCCTATGTCATTCAGGTCATTGTACTTTTAAGAGTTATCTGAAAATTAAAACACGTATTCCCTATCTGCATTCACATGGCAATCTCTGCACGTTACAAATATAAACTAGGAATTGAAAACCTGTCGTGAACTCCATCTCTTTCGCAACGTTTTTTTGTGGAAATGATAATTGATGTTTCGTACATTTCTGGCATAATCTACAAAATAAAGATGTCGTGAAAAGAATCGTTTGGACGTAGAGGAAGGGGAAATATCCTCTTTATGTGCATCTCTTCCTCCGTCAATTAAGTGAAGGCAACGCATCTGCAATTGCGGAAGTCTATGGTTATTTCGCTTTAACGGCGAAGCTTCCAGCTTTTAATATTTATGACACAAATAAGTATATTTAAAACTGTATAAATGTTACACCACATTCCTACAAAATTGCTTTAAAGGAAGTTAAGATAGCCTAAGATGACTAATCTTAATTTGCATGCGGCCGGCGTTTTAGTATTTTGCGATAAACCACATCTTCACCCTAACATATTCAAATCAAGGCCAGCATAGTAGTTCTTTGAACTAACAGATATGCAGGAGGAAAATGCTTTTACATATGTATAACACAATACTAAGAAATATTTGCAACAAAATCTGAAAAGACATAAAGGTCTAATTATCAAAAATTTCCCCTTTTTTTTAACATATTATATTCATATGACTTTTTATGGACATGGTACCGGACCATGGTATCATATTTAAAGTAAATTATTAACACTCAATCAATAACTCATAATACTTTATTTTAACGAAATACACACAATATTATAAGTAAAAAATATATTTGCCATTCACATTAATCTTGTGTTAAATATCACTAAAATTACTAATGAGTATAACTTAATTAATAGTTTACAATCAAGCCTCAATTTTTGTATGTTTATTTTTGTTAATTTTATTGGTGTCCAAAGTTTCTTGTGTCAGGATTCTGCGGAGGTAAAGTAGCGAGATAGTCGAGAGCCTTTTGAATATCTTGTGGGATTGGTGGAGGAGTGGGAATATGAGCGCCTTGGGGTTGGAAACCATTTTCATCCGCTGTGTATTTGAGTTGTATGACCTGGAATAGAAAAGAGTTTTCAATGACAGTCTCCGTAGTATAAAAATATACAAAGTGCTTGAAAGTCAGTCGTTGAGTTCATGAATCTTTTTGGATCATGACCTTCTAACTATTGTCCTTGGAAAAGCCGATAGAAGCCCACGTTTAAATGCCTCGTTTGAATACTATATTCTACTAAATCAACTTTATTTGGCTTGGATTTCTCTTCCAAATTGAATCAACATTTAATTTTGTAATTCTCTTAACCAATCCATTCGTAACTTCATAGATCTACCTGTCCATCGGGCGCTGTATACTGGTACTGTCCTTGCGCGGTCTGCGCCTCCTGCTCGGGCACGCCGAGGTTCTTGATGTAGCCGAGCTCTTCAGCAGATATGCCGTTACCAGTCTCGTAACTGGAAAAAATATTGTTCATCTATCACTCAATGCAGATCATTGCAAGGTAAGACCAAAGTATGTATTATGTAAGAGGACATGTGTAAGAAAAGAATGATTTTAGACGTGACTGCTGATAAAAGTGTATAAAAGAGTGGTACAGACTATCCAACCCTCTGTAATTAAAAGCAGGATGATGATATGTCGCTCAATTTTAAATTGTTGTGAAATTTCCTATAACCCACATAAATAAACATGGGAACTAAAATTGCATGAAGTCGGATCTATATTGCCATAACTGTACTAAGAGAAAGTCACGACGGATAGAATCTCACGTTTCCGATAACGAGATACCATAACCTTTGCACTTCGGTTTAAAATGTTACTGGTTAAAAATGGACTATGATGTAAGGACTGTAAGACGGGCCCATTCAATTTACATGACGAATTAAAAAAATAATAAAACAGAGCTTTCGTAAAAAATGCCGGTAGTAGTAACTGTTGCTCAATTTCATCAACACGATCAGGAAATACCTTGTTTACAGACTTTTAGGGTGAAATTAGATTTTTTTACGTCACGAAAATATACACTTTTCATTTTTTTTGTGACCAAAACGTGGTTACTCAAATTTTAAGTAAAAATAAATAATTACGCTGCACTCAAAATAAAAAAGATTTATATAATAAGTATATTTTTTTAAATTGAGAAAACCAGCGCTTGACCACAATTTTTCCTTGTCTACGCAGTCTACGCCTCTCCCAATGATGATAAAGTACTTACAGATCTCGTCTTCGTATAAAATAGCTCCAGTTGATTAGTCACCACAAAAATTATACGGTTATCTTTACCATAAATATTGATTCCATTTTTTCTGCCACAAACCTCCATTTATAAGATCCATCGGGATTCTGCACATGCTCTTGTCTTATGATGGGGATTGGTTCTGTTGTGTAGAGTTGCTGCTGTTGGTACACAGGCTGCGGCGGGAAGGGCTGGATGATGCCCACGTCCGCAGACACTGTCCCGATGATAACAACCAACGCCAGCTAATAAAGGAAAAGAAGGACTAGAATACGATTAGCTTAAAACGACAAGTATATTTCGACGCGAAGCTTTTCAAACGCCACTAAATGTCCCTTGAGCTTAGGTCATGAAAGTTTTAAGATAAAAATGATCTTTATGCTTACGAAATAATTCATGTTGAGTCAACACTGGAGTAACAAGTTGAATGTAAACGAGGAGGCAACAGAATGATGCAGTCCGGATGAACCCCCGGTATTTATACGTGAAACTTTGAAGCAATTACATACTGTTGCAGATCCGATGCATCTCCTTACGTCGGCTTTTGACAAAAGGATAGCTCTCGATCCCTTATAGAGATATCACGGTGAGGTTTCGCACAACATACAACATGCTTTTAATTGATACAGGAATGCCACTCCAACTTCGACAGCGGCCAATAATAAGCAATTTAAATTTTATGATCTATAATGAACACGCATTTTCTTTTAATGGAGCATAATTATTGAACCGATTATTATTAAATTCAATAACACGACGTGACGTTTATTGCAAGTATCTTGATAAAAAAGAACTGAGTAATTTTTGAATCGATGTTTTAACATAACTCGGATATAAATAAAACTTTCCCAAAACGCTATAAATGTAAATAAATTAAAGAAATGGAATTTTATGGCAGGCATTCATTAATCTCAAAGCAATTTAACTTCACTAATAATACTTCATTCTAAGAATCTTAACTACTAACTAATGTAGTCCTAGGTCTTCGAGACCATTAGAAACAGAGTATAGATAGTTAAAATTACTGAAACTCAATGTAACAATTATCATTCGACACGTAATTTGTCCAAAAGTACAAAGTACGACATCTTATTCATTCGGTTGTCAATTTATTTTTAATTTACCGAAAGACAATATTAACTAATTTCCAAGAAGATATTCGGTATCCTAAAATTTAAAATGTCGTGTCAAATATTATGTAATAAGAGTTCTGCAAAGGTAGCCTCGTGTAGTATATAAAGGCATCACCAGACAGATCTCTACAAACCAGTCGCGGGATTCCGTATGTGACACACTTCAACAAGGCTTTTTTTAAGAAAAATTTATTGATCTTGCCACATCAGGCTTCATACATAATACCAAGATATTTTTCGTTGACTTTAATACCATTCTTACGTACTTTATTGAGGCATTATAACACTTCAGTCACGTACAAAAGTCTGTGCAAAACGAAAAATATCAAGATTTTTGCCGTAATACAAGTAGTTACTGAGAATATATTATAGTCGAATCGAATAAAATCTCTTTAATTATTATTAAGTACTTTTTGATACGCTCAGTTTCGATGTACTTGTAATGATTGGCTTATCGTAATTTTGTCTGCATTGTTTCTTTTGTTTCTTTTATTGATTGATTTTAATTGAACGCTTTGACGTTTAACTTTATAAATATGTTAATTGTAAAATAACATATTTTCATTCTCATTATAAAAACGTAAATAATAATCATTAAATCGTAAACCTTACACTATTTCTTATTCAAGATGAACAAAAGAGTTTTGTGTATAAATAAAAATGCCAGCAGTGTATCTTTCATCTGAATGTTATTTTGCTTTATAGCATGGAACACGTTTCATACACAGATTGTTCAGATAACAAAGATAACTTAAGCGATCTGCATTAAACCGTTGTATATTCTGATAAATATCTGCCCTTCGATTAATGAAAATACTTGATTTTTAGCTTAATCATGTGTTTTAAAACACTTTAAAGTTTTGTCTCAACTCAAAAAATAGTAAGAATTTTGCTAATTTGTAAATGTGTTTGTGAAAGTTTTCTACATGAGGACTTTGCAATATTTTAAAATCAGTGTTAAAACACAAATCCTATCACTCCATATGTAGACACTAAAATATTTCCCGCCCATTCGATGTCGCCGAATCAAATTTTAAAGCTTACCCCCTAAGTTACCACATTAGAAAGTTGTTACACGACAGTTATATTTATAATGTTTGCCTTATGAGAATATAAAATGTTATATTATTTCATGTACACGTTTATAAGTATAAGGAAATGAAATAAAAATTCAACATTGATATGGTCTTTTATTTATTATGATAAAGCACTCGAATTTAACATATAAATTGTGAAATAACCCCCTTAGAATTAAATCAAAAAGTATTTTCACATTTGCTGTTTAAAATATGTATATTTACAAGTTATAAGCAAAGTGGCATCTACGCAGTTGTCTTTTTAGCGGTATCTTGGGATGTTCGTTTTTGATACCCAAATTGACGGTAAGGATTGTACAAAGGGTAGTTTCCTGGAGCGTTTGGATATCTGGGGTCGTAAGGTCTATAATTATAAGGTCCATAATTATTATTGTACCTATTACCATAATTGAAGGGACTGTAATTGTTATAAAACGGATTTCCGCCTTTTGTTCCGTTAATTAATGATGGGACTACACTTCCATCTGCCGGTATTTGAATGCCTGCCGGTCTGAATCCTGAAAATTTATACATAAAAATATTACAGTCTCAACTGGAACTAGCTGTTAAGACTTAAAAATTATCTAAACCCAATTCATTCCAAAGTCTTAAGAATTTAACATATTTGGCAGTTTAAGTGATTAATAATCGCATCGTTTTTTAACAATTATGGTATTAAAACTGATCATTTTAACGTCCAAGTTTTGCCATTGTAATATCATGAATGAGAATTTATTTCACTAAGATTAAAAAGATAACACGATCAGTGTATCGACGAACATCGATAATATCTCAGGAAGTTTCAATTTCAATAACAAGATGACCATCACATTATCATCAAATTAGCTTCGGTCGGCACAAAACCGTGACCGAGCGCGAGAAAGGCAAACTAGCTTTAAATTATTAAAATTTCGCGGTTGTCAATCAAAACTATAATCGCAAATAACCGTACCATACTCATCGGCGACATAGTTCACTTTTATTGGTATTCCTTCAGGCGATGTGTATGCAAAACCACCTTCTTTAACCTGCAATTACATACAAATGTATCGTTAATACTAACCGAATAGATAACTTAAATAAAATAGATTATCTTCCTTCCTAAACTTTGATACGCAATATTTCGAAATAACTTATTCAATTTCAGATAATTAAACATTTAAGTTAAAAAGTAACAAGAAAAATACCTGTGTGCCTTGGGGATTTCCCGCGTTATCAATATGAGCATCTTTTACAAACCCGCTTTCCTGAACCTCCTTACCATCTGCTGACGCATAGCTGAAATGTTTAAACTAGATTAAGACAGGACAAGTTACCTTAATTTCACACATATAATTATAGTCTTACTTTCAATCTAACCCTATTATTTAAAAAGCTTGAGAGCACTTATTAACTGCGGCGGAAAATAAGACCGTGAGTCACAGACGAAACTTTTACATATTATTGTTTTATATCAAAAAGCGCCGAAACACATGTCATCCCTTTATAAGAAAAAAGAGATCAACATTTATCATACAAGATTTTAGTCTGTAAGAATACACAAGCATAATTGTAAAATAAAGTAAAGATTGAATAACATACCTGTAGGAATAACTTCCGTCTATGCCACGGTTGTCACTGTAAGATACAATGGGTACAGCAGCTCCTTGTGAATTGTAGTATGGATTGTATCCATTTGGCCACTGATTTCTATTAAATCCAGGATACAAAGATGTTGGAGAAACATTCATCCCAGGTACTGGAGTCACAGGTCTATTTGGTAAAATCTGACTATTCCCCAGAGTGTAAAAAAGAAATAAAGTAAGTAGAAATATCATCTGAAAAGATACAAAAAAATTATGACAAAACTATCATAACCCTTTTAAAAGAAAATCTTTCTTTTCTTTTATCCAAATTTTTTCCACGATCAAAGCTTATTTTTAATAATAAAGAGAAATATATCAGAACTCATTCATGCAGAAACTTTACACAAAGAGGCAAAATTTTAGACTTTATCTTTAAAGTTTACAAAAAAAAATGTACAAAACAATTTGGAACTCGCACCATTATTTTGCTCCACACCGAGTACACGCACTTGTTGTAATTAACTCCACTACTATTTGTGTTGGATCTGATTATTCAATTTATAGGTAGCAAGATTTACGTAAAGTTTATAATTTTTTTGTAAAACCATCTTGGAAGCGTTAAATAACATTTTATGTTCTGTTTTACATCACTTGCCTTGAATATTATTACGATTATGAGATATATTAAATTTAACTAAGTTAAACATAAAATTGAACTATTCCAAAAAGTAGGAAAACATTAATATTTGACTAAGACCAATTTTGATTAAGACCAATTAACAGCCCTTTTTTTTTTAAAGTGCCATCTTCTTTCGAAGTTCGGCGATCATTAGGGCGACTTTCGTTCTTGACACCGCGGCTCTAAAAAGTGATCGGGTGCTCTTTCCATACCACTGGCGTAGATTTTTGAGCCAGGACGGTTTTCTTCGACCTACACTACGCTTTCCGTGTATTTTGCCTTGTACGATGAGCTGCAGTAGTTCGTATTTGTCATTTAGCATTATGTGGCTTAGGTACTGCAGCTTTCTTTTCTTAACTGTATATATCACTTCTGTCTTTTTCTTCATGTGCGCTAACATGGCTACATTTTTAATTTTGTCTCTCCAGGATATCCACAGCTCTTAGTTAAACTCAATTACGTAAGAAATCAATAAAAATAATACACCAACAACAAATATCTAATACAAGTTTCACAATATTCGTAACAGTAACCCTTGAAGCTTATGAAAGCTTTTTCTTGATAATGATAATGTTATAAAAGCCTTTTGTATAATCTTGCGTTTTTATAACATACTAAAATTAGTCTATTATACATTTCCGGGTTAACATCAAGGTTAAAATATGTTATCATTAAGTATAGAATCAACAATACAGATATGAATCTAATTGGTAATAAAGCTTTGTAATTACTTCAAATTGTTTAATTATACACAACTAAGCATTGTTATTTTTTAATTATGTTACATCTCATTAAAATCGTTGTTAAGAATTCTTAAAATAAAACTGTAATAAGCGTTTAATTCCTACACATGTTCTTTTAATTAGCTGCATATTTATGTTTATTTTATAACAATTTAAGATATAATTTACCATTTATCATCACTGAAAAATCTTTTTATCAATAAAGTTAATACAAAACACAGCTTACCTTTAATAATTTTTTTTTATAATAAAACGATTATTTTAAGGCCATGTTGGCGTATCTCCCATTTTCACATTTCCACCGTACAAACAAGATTTGTCTCTGAAATTGGTCATTCTGAGAGTTTCTTGATCATCCAGGAACTTACCTATGAAAAACCCACTTAAAGGTACGGCAAAATATATATAACGCGTAGTAACACCGAATATTGCCATCACAGTTAAGTTTTAAATTAAATAATTTTTTGAGTAACTGTAGTTTTGAGTAACCATATAATAGATGACTAAAGATTACAAGTTCACTTGGGAGTAAAAGAGTTAAAATGTCATATAATTATACTTGGAATGTGGGTAGTTACTATTTTACAGAGTATCTAAGTGTTGTGTCAACTACAGAATGTATTATGAACGATTATTTCAGCTAATACTACACTACGCGTAACTGACCTGCGCATTTGTTATCCTAGTGCTACGATCGATAATTCAGCAACAAGAGCCCCGTATTACATACAAGTGTATCGCTACACTATTTTTAAATCTAGATTAACAGCTGAGTGTATATATCATAAGTGTCTTGAATGAATGTATATATTACACTTTATCGCTGAATTTATTCTAATATAATAAATTCTGGGCTAATTTTATAAAATCTATGTCCATACTAATATTATAATAAGGAGAGTTTTGTATTTTAAAATGTATTGAAATAACTCAAAAACTACTGGGCTGAATACAAAAACCCTTTCACCATTAGAAAGCTACGTTATGGCTGAGTAACATAGGCTATATTTATAATTTATCACGTGGACGAAGTCGCGAGAAACAACTAGTAGTTAATGTAGAAATAGAAAATAACCTATTTTAAATTTCCAGTTACTTATGTCTTGCATAAATGACTGAAAATAGTTTTTTTAAACAATGCTACACAATACACGACATATATGTATAATGCCTATTGAAGCAGACTGTTTTTGAAATGAAAATAAATAACGCCTTAAAATAAGAGACTTCAGTAACATCTGTTCAACAATACTTTATAATAATTTCAGTAATTGGATATCACTACTTTCTCAAAAGCTGTAGAAACAGAAAACCTCGATACTGCTTAAAGTATACGCAGGTTATTAATTATTCACACATCTGTCGGTATATCGGCTATTACTGTCAATTTATTTTAAATTATAACGTGTTTCATTATTTATTACACTCCATGCCCGAAGCAGTTCATTAATGTACGTCAATAAATTCAAGGTGTTTTTAACAGTGAGAAGACATCTTTCACGTGTTCGAGAATTACTCGCATTTATGGAAATTCTCTACTTAAACGACTTTCTGTTTTTGTATACTTAAATATCACATAGTAATTTCGTAGCTTATTACGACGATGTGAAAACAATGTGGTATGTAATTCGTTGAATGTTTTTTTAATTCAATGTTAAATTAATTTAGAACTTGAAAAAGTCTTACATATTTTTATTTATTTTAGACACTGGCATACAATATAATTTAGTTTTAAAAAAAAGACTTTTTCTTTTGTTTTTTCGATTAACAAAATACAGCTACGTGAAATCCGTGACTCTTACTTAGTGATAAGGAAAATGGAGAATAACTTAAGAGATGTGGGCACAGTATAAACATTACCTTTGTACACTATGTAATATTACGAGATTTTGTAATTGGATAAGAAAATATTATCTTTAGTCGTGATTTTCTTTATCGTACATAGTTTTAACTTAACTACATAAATAACTCAAGACGTACTTAACAAGAATTTTCGTTTTTTTAATAAACCAGCTGTTGCCCGCGAATTCGTCCGCTTGGGTATTGCAAAGACATCTAAGTTTGACGTCAATTCTTGCGGAATGATTTCGACGGAAGTTAGCGTTCTCAAAAAAATGTAAATCAGTTCTTAATGTTCTAGCGTTGTTTAAAAACGCTGTTGTGTACACTTATGTAAATAAATAAAATAAGTAATTTCGTGTAAATTAGTAAAATCTAAACAAATCTTGCAATCACATAAATCGGGAAATTTTATATATCAAAAGTAAAATTGATTGTTTTTTTTATCATTTTTATCAATTTCGCTGTAACAAAAAGCTGTCACCTCGAGGGACGCGCCAACAGGTCGTGTCCCTTGATAATCGCGGACGCATGCCGGCGCGATTTATGCGGACACGTGACACTGAACGAGTCGTTGAGGAATTAAAAGTTAAGCATTTAAAGGATTTTTTTTTAATTTTCATACATAACTATGAAGACGTAGTTTCTAGTAAATGAATGTTTACACAATGCATATTGCTTTAATATACTTGAAGAAAATAAAATAATTATAATATCCGGAATGGTTACTTTTTACTTTAAATATAATGTTTACTATATTTATACAGTATATTTAAAGTAAAAAGTAATCTTAACATGTCATAATATGACATAACGTGTCAGTGAATCGAATAGTTGCACTTTAAAATTCCGAGGATTTTGTGACGTAATTCTTATTAAAGACCTTCAAAAATTGAGACACCTTAAGTCATCTGATGTTCAGTTAACTTCCAAGAATGCTTGTATACATTCATGATACTACTGTTCTTAGAAATCATTGTAGTAATTTAATTATGAAATAAATAATGCATTTTTTTAATCGAACTGGCAGTTCGTGATATCTGTTTATTACAAAACCACAATATTTTTAACACGCCACGATCTTAAATTGAAAGTTTCAAACATAGGTTCAAAATATTATACTCATTCGTACTACTTACTAATATGTAACTGCGAAAGTTTACATGGATGAATGGACGTTTGTTAGAGTTTTCCGCCTGATCGGTGGAACAGATCTCGATGAAATTTTGCAAAGTTGTATATCATAGTTTGGAAGAACACTTGATGTAATTCCATTTTCATTTTAATTCAACGCGGATGTTAGTAGCTAATACCATAATTGTGTAATATTTCTAAACTATTAGAAATAGAAAAAACAAAAAGAACTTACAATGCTAAATACATTTGATAACTAAAAAATACAATTAGTTTTCACACATATTTCAGTATTTGCAATTACATAATTACAGGCGCATTTTTGTTTAAATGCATCTGACAAGAAATACGTGAATATTTTTTGTGTTGGTCAAATGTAAAAACGTTAGCAGTTATTATGATGTTATATACTGTTGTTATGTTGAAATGCAGAATTTTTATGGGAGCAAAATCAGATATGGAAACGATACCTTCTACACAAAACTGACCTACCACAAAACTAGTCTTCTAGAAAAGTTTATTTCGCGCCTTAAACATTTAGTATAGCAATTGTTCTGTATAATTTTTTAAAATACCTAGCTGGCGCATGCAACTTTGTCTGCGCAGTATTAAAAAGACATAGAAACTATGAAAAATTAAAAAAACTATATATCCCTGGGTAACCTAACATTTTTCGGGAATGCCATATATCCCATGTGTTACCCCCAACTTTCCTTTATACCGTTGTTTTTTGTATTGTTGCAGAATTATAGAGTAAACATGAAAAAACAAAAGAACCCATAAGTATTTCCGGGTTCACAAGATGTCGATGTGATTTCCTGGACTCTCCTCTACATTTATACCAAATTTATATGGCTATGGTTAAAACTAGAACAATAATGTTTTATGAAAGAGATTGTTTAATTTAATTAAATTCTACTTTATGTTTAAGATTAGATTTTTATTTGTTAAATTGTCATAAGCGATAAAAAACATACAGACGAATTGAGTACCTCCTTCTTTTATGAAGTCGGTCAAAAAATACTGCTGATTGAGTGATCACGTATGTTCATTTTAAATATTGTTAAATTACACTGATAGCTGTTAATTATCTGCAACTAATATTACCTTTAGC